CTGTCTAAAATCTTAAAGGTGAAGAAAAGATGTTTACTAAAAGATACTAAAGATGAAGAGTTGTTGTTTTAAGGAATAATAAGAACAGAAATTATATGCTGGACTATTTATGTGATTATGAAAGATAAGAGATGACTTATGTCAGCTTTTGACTTCTTCATAGTAGCATATGGAGAAATCCTGAGAGCTGAATTGATTTCTATGCTGGGAAAGTGGGGAGAAAATTGAAAACATAAGTAGTAAACATTGTAAGGATGTTGTTAGAACTAAGAATTTATGTAAAATTCTGATTCCTTGATGCTAAGTGCTAAATACAAATTATAAGGGTACCACATGTGGAGGTATGGTGAATTATTGAAACATTTCAAATATTCTACAGTTATACAAGAATTTTCCAAGTTTTTTGCAATCTTCAGAATTTCTTAAGCTTCAGACTCATAATTTTTGTGCATGAGAAATTATTTTATTAATCTGTACTCACAAAGCACACCACAAACAACAATCAGTAATATTTTAATGACTTTCTCTTCTGGTGAACATATTTTGGTAGGAAGATATTGGCAAACTGTTGCTAATAGCTATGTTCTACTCCCTTCCATGAGTTGTGCCACCCCCATTTTCCTTTTTCCCTTTCATTTTTCTAAGTCTTGTCTCTCACTAGATTGCAAACTGTTGAGGGCAGTGATTATGAAATTCACTTCTTTTCTTATGCTTCCTAGTCTCTAGCAAAGTGCTAGACACCTGATAGATTCCCCCTCCCCCCCTTTTTTTTTTGGTAAGAAGTTATAGAATCAATTGATCTATTTTTTTTTTAAATTTTGAACTTAAAACATTCCCCAAAAGAGCATTTCCATATACAAAGAAGAAAACAGAAAGATTCTATATAAAACTGGATTTCCATTTCACACTTTTTTTTTAAAGTGTATCATAATGGGGCAGCTAGGTGGTGACACTAGCTGTGTGACCCTGGGCAAGTTACTTAACCCCAATTGCCTCACGAAAAAAGCAAAAAAAAAAATAAAAAAAAGTATATCATAAATTCTACTCTTACTTTCAAAACTGCCTGCCTGTCTGTTTCCTTCTGAAATTCCTTCTGTTTTCTTCTGTGCATTTAAAAAAAAATGTTATGTTCCTCTTTTTTTGGCATTCCTGCTTCATTTCAATCCTTTACCCCAATTAACCTAAAGAAACAGGGAAAAGACCCCTTGTAATGGTGAGCTTAGTTAAGCAAAATAAATCCATGCAGTGGCCATATCCAAAAATGTATATCTTGTGTCCATCACCTCTCTGTCAGGAGGAGGGTAACACTTCTTTCTATCTTCCCCTCTCCTGATTAGATTGTTGGTACAACATCATCATATAACTCTTTCCATTTTTCAAATAAATTTACCTTTCTAGATTTTTCTAGACTCGTGTTTTTGTATTTCAGAGTTCCTACTTAGCTCTGGTATTTTCGTCAGGAATGCTTGAAAGTGGTCTATTCCACTAAAGGATCATTTCTTGCCCCCCATTATATACTAAGTTTTTGCAAAGTAAATGGTTGTATATCTTGGCTGTATACCTTTATCTTTTACCTCTCAAAATATTGTATTCTATGATCTCTGGTTTGTAGTAGAAGTTGCCAGGTCTTTTATGAACCTAACTATAATTGTGTGGTAATTGAACTGCTTTTTTCTGCATGTCCTGAGTCACCTGAATCTCTGGACTGACTTCTACCTTTCAGGATTTGCCTTTCTGTATTATTTGAGGGTTCAAATAATTTTCTGGTCCCCCTCTGGAATCCCAGGATAGAATGTTAGGTACCTCAGAGTCCCTATGCCTGAGTTTTTTTTTTTTTTAATCATACTGGGGCTCACTTAGTGGAGCCCTCAGCTTTTGCTGCCTCCAGATGTGGAGCTTTACAGGCTATACAAACTCTATTGTTTCTGGGCTTGCTTAGAGGTTAGCTGAATGAACACTGGCTTTGCTGGAAGGACACTGGCTGGATTTTTGTATGATTCAGGAATGGAAGGAGTTATTGTAGTTTCTTACTGGATTTCTTGTGTATATGTAATATATCCCACGAGGCTGTAAATTTGAGGCCAGGAAATGCATCTTTATCTTTATCTGTATTTGTATCCATATATAAGCACTTCATAAGTGCTTGCTGAATTAAATGGACCCAGTACATGTGCTTTCTGGTTATACCTGAGTGGTAATGGTGGAAAAAAATCTGTTTTTTATATATGTTACAAGACATGTTTTCAGTGGATAGTTTGTGAATTGTGATTACACTTCAGGTCTTTCCCCAATCTGTACCAAGTAGAAAAGATCTCTTATGTAAAATTAAATTTCCAAATACAGTTAAGTCCTGAATCTGCTAAGGAATAACAGCTAGGCTGTGGAGATGTAAATCCGATTCTTCTGGTTAATTTTTTTTTCTTTTGCAATGCACAGGTATTTTCAGTAGGAAATAACTAATTAGGTAACTAGCCACTTTTTTTTTTTTTTGGCTAGGCAGTGGGGTTAAGCAACTTGCCCAGGGTCACACAGCTAGTAAGTGTTATGTGTCTGAGGTCGGATTTGAACTCAGGTCCTCCTGAATCCAGGGCCAGTGCTCTATCCACTGTGCCACCTAGCTGCCCCAAAGATAATCCCTTGCCCTCAAAGAGTTTACATTCTTTTTTTTTTTTTTAAAGGCAGTTGGGGTTAAGTGACTTGCCCAGGGTCACATAGCTAGTAAGTGTCAAGTGTTTGGTCTGAGGTCACATTTGAACTCAGGTCCTCCTGACTTCAGGGCCTGTGCTCTATCCACTGCGCCACCTAGCTGCCCCCATAATTAGCCACTTTTTAAGGATACAATTTGAAGTTTTCTGGATGCCTTTTTGGAAGAAGCAAAGAATCTTAGTCTTAGTCAACTATCATGATTGTTTAGGAAGGAAAAATCTACTTAGAAAAAAATGAAACTTTTATCTTCCTCTTCACTTAAGATTTACTTGAGAAATCTACTGAAAAGAACCTTTGGATGTTCCCTAGTTCAGTAGTTCTCAAACTTTTTGGTTTTAGGATTCCTATACACTCTTAAAAATGATTGAGAACTTCAAGGTGCTTTTGTCTGTGTGGATTATATCTATTAACATTTACTGTCTTAGAAGTTAAGATGCTTTATTAGTATGAAAATAGTTTTGGGGCATCTAGGTGACGCAGTGGCCCTGAAGTCAGGAGGACCTGAGTTCAAATCCAGCCTCAGACCAAACACTTGACACTTACTAGCTGTGTGACCCTGGGCAAGTCACTTAACCCCAGTTGCCTAAAAATTTAAAGAAAAAAAAAAGAAAAAAAGAAAATAGTTTTGATCTCATGTACCCCTTCAAAGGGCTGCTCGGTGGTGCAGTGAATAGAGTGCCAAGCCTAGAGTCAAGAAGACTCATTTTCTTGAATTCAAATATGGCCTCAGACACTTAATAGTTTTGTGACCCTGGGCAAGTCATTTAACGCTGTTTGTCTTAGTTCCTCATCTGTAAAATGAACTGGAGATGGAAATAGCAAACTACTTCAGTATTTTTGCCAAGAAAACCCCAAATGAGGTCATGAGGAGTAGGACATGACTGAAAAATGACTCAACAACAACAACCTCCCGAAAAGAGTCTAGGGGATCCCCAGGGAACCTCGGACTTCACTGGGAACCTGGTTGATTCAAGAAATATTTCTTTAAATCTTCTCCTTCCTACATTGCCCTTATCTCTTCACTCAAAGCTAGCTGGCAGTATGAAGGAAAACCTGTGTTTATCCTTGTACTATCATTCAGTGGTTCTAAGCTTTTCCTATCCAGTTTCATAAGAGGGAGTATTTCATTCCTTGAAATTAAGTGATACTGTTGGCTGACCTAGTGTCTGTGAGCAAGTCACTTCTCCAGCTTCAGTATCTTCAGCTGTAAAATGAATGTTTACTAGATGATCTTTAATATATTTTAGCTCTAACAGTCCATGATTGGTTCATTATAGATACTGTAGCCCAGCACTATAAAATGTCACTAATACCTATGGACGTAGTATATGTAGAGGTAGCTATTGGAAATTTCTCTGTTAAAGAAGGGAGGAAAAAATTACTTAAGTACTCATATAACACTATTATTAGTAGTAACATTTATAAAGGACCCACTGTGTTAAGTAATATGGTGTTACCTAAGGAGTGGGACCTGGGTTTTGTCCTCTAAGAATCCACAGTTTCAATGGGAATATAAAACAAATGCAAAATTACCTAAGAAGAGTGGGATATTTAATGAAGAAAGGAGCTTTTGCTATTGAGAAACATTGTGGTGTAGGGGAAAGAGCCCTTTATCTGGAGGCAGATGACCTGATGCTGCCATTTATGAGAGGTGTTACTTTGAGCAAATCACTTAATCACTTTGTACCTTAATTTTCCACCTGCAGAATGGGAATGGTAACATGTAACTGCCTACCTTTGTCTGCTGTAAGGATCAAATGAGATAATGTGTATAAAGCACCATTTCATCTGCCTGCCTCACAGGACTATTATGAGGAAAGTGCTTTGTAAATCACAAAGCATTATATTTTATTATTGTAGTGAATTAGCTACTTGGACATTCCATAGAAATTTTTTTTAACAGTTTAACCAGTCTGCCATTGGTTTTACAAAATGACCGAACAGTAAATTTCTGATGAATACTTCTAGTGTTGGGGCTAATTCCTTTTGCATATAAAGGGAGTTTAGGATCTCAACAGGGTACAAGATGTGATACTGGTAACCAGTGATAACATCCCTAATTTATGGAAAAGTTCTTCTGTTTTCTGGTATTTGCAAAGTTTAACTTGAATTCAAATGATTAAATTTGGAATTTTGGAATAATTTCTAAGTTTTGTAGCATGCCTTTTGGTTTCTTAGTGGGAATTAAGCTCTCTTGGTTAATATGTTGGATTACATTGAAGAAATCACATTTTTAATTAAATGATGTTTTGTTTATTTGAAGTTATCAACTAGGTCTTTTTGCATTTTCATAGACAATCTGCTACATCTTGATTCTGCAGCATTCCAGGATAGTGGTGTCCTTGGGGCGCTTTCTTAACATTGATATGGTACAGAAGATTTAAAATCAGGTATGACTTTATGGCCAGAACCCTTCAATGAAATGTAAAATTTAAACTTTACACATTTGGACACATTTTTATTATATATTGATTCTTTTTTTGGCCATCTTTTAGCTGATGTTCACAAGGAATAGAGTCACGTGATGTATGAAGGGAAACACATACACTTCTCTGAGGTTGACAATAAGCCCTTGTGCTCATATAGCCCTAAACTGTGCAAGCAGCGGCGGCTCAACGGCTACGCTTTCTGTATCAGACACGTTCTGGAGGACAAGACTGCCCCCTTCAAGCAATGTGAATATGTGGCCAAGTATAACAGCCAACGCTGCACCAATCCCATCCCCAAATCTGAGGATCGCAGGTAAGAGTTAGTGAGGGCATAAATGTAATGAGGATGGACTGTGATTTGGATTTTTTGTTTTTGTTATTATTATTATTATTATTTTTTGCTTAGGTTGCATTTTTATTCCTTTGGGGATTAGGGACATACAAAAGAACTTCTGTATAAGAATTGGGAATATTATCATCCCCACCGCCCCTTCCACCCATTTAAATATGTGAATGACAAGAGTTGCAGGGAGAGGGAAATTATTTTTCAAAGGAGCATTCCAATAAAGTATGTTCAAGTTGTTTTTTCCCCTTAATTTCCCTTCATTTCCAGAATTACTATTAAACTTTTTTTTCCACAAAGTTTGCTACTTAGAAGTCTATGCTATTATTTATACAGCTTATTAAGGCCTTGCAAAATAGGCTCTGACTTCTTTATTAGTTATTTAAATGAAAATGATAGAAAACATTTGGGTGCAGGAAATATTCTTAATAAATCAAATATTTTTCAAGAATTTTGACATTCTTGGCTAAAAGATGGTAGAGTTATAGGCATACATTTCTTTAAAAAAGGAAAGACCAGAAATGTCATTGAATTATGCCTTAATCTGTCCCATTAAAGATATTACGCAGGTTTTGTGTTCTTTCAAATGATTTTTAAAGCTTTTTTTTTTTTTGGTGAGGCAATTGAGGTTAAGTGACTTGCCCAGGGTCACACAGTTAGTGAGTATCATGTGTCTGAGGCCGTATTTGAACTTAGGTCCTCCTGACTCCAGAGTGGGTGCTCTATCCACTACGCCATCTAGCTGCCTTTTTAAAAGTCTTTTTGTAACATTAAGTTTATTATTAAAGAGTACAATGTATAGTGTACTCATAGAACAGAAAACTATGCTTTTACAGCTAAGGTGGATCTAAGATAAAAACTGAAAAATGGTGCTCAAGCAAATTCTTTCTAAGAAAACATTGTCATGGAAATATATTTTAAAATAAAATGTGCATATGCATTGAAAGAGATGATCTGCTGCTGGTCACCACACATCTTGTATATTTTTAAGAGAATGCATACTCTTTTTTTACAGGCTACTTTTCCCTTCATAGTTTCCTCTCATCTCCAAAGAGCAATGTCCATGCCATTGACTACTTTATTCACTCATGTAGAGAATTATACAGTAGAGCAAATGCTGCATATTTTTCTAACAGTTCTAGCTATCCCTTAAAAAACTGGTTATACTGTTTTTATATAGATAACTTAAAATCACAATTTTAGCTTTGCATTTTTCTCATGTATTATATTTCCATTGGGGGGAAATAACTGACACTCAACCTTCAACTTCTCTGTGTTCAAGTAAATATCTGTTTGAATGGAGTATAAAAGTTGTTCTGGTGAGCAACCAGACTTGTAATTTACACTTAATGTGTGAAATAAATAATTTGTATAAAATGAGATCATACCAAAATGAGTGTGGTATAATCTAGTGATTTGGGAGTACTCCCTTAGAATTACTAATCAGCACTTCAGGCTTTAAATTACAATACCTGAAAGTTACAGACGGCTGCTTAGTGAGGGAAGAAATAAAAGTTTAATCTTGGGTGAAAAAAAGACACATACTTGGTAGCTAATGTGCATGTCAGAATTTGATTTTATAGATTAATAAGTAGCTCAAAAATTACAATTTCTCATTAATCTTTATTTGAGGATGATGGATGAACATAAATTAATTCATTGCCTTAAGTAGCATTTTTTAATATCTATATAATTTTGCCTTTAAATTTAGTTCAACATTGACGCATTTGCCAATCTTGGATGTTTTCCCAAGGGCCAATACTAAAGACTTAGTATTATTACCAGGGTTAAGAGCACAAATTAAAATGAGAGGGTAATCAGACCTTCCCCACCCTGTTACAAGCATCCTAAACAGACTTTTCCTTCACTTTTTAGTTCTGAAGTAGACTTAAGATTTTTTTTCAAGGCAAAGGTAGACTAGGGATAGACTCTAAAGGTAGACTAGGGATAGACTTATAAATCTGTTAGGAGGTGCTGTGATTAAATAGTAATTTAGATGTCTTTATAGGATAGGACCCATAACCCGATATTCATATCTCCTTTTTCTGTATTGACTGATATGTCATTAGAGTCTGTTGTTTTTCAAATCATAAAAAAATATAAATCAGTTACTTCTAATTTGTGAGACCAGAACTTGGGAGAGGGTTAATGTTTTAAAATAACTTGAAGAAGTCTAGACCCTAATATTTAGTATCATGCCTGAACCCATTTACAACTGTTATGCTTGGTTACAAGACTATACTTGTTTGCCTATTCTATAGGTAACTTAAAAAAAAAGATTTATTAGTATTTATGATAAAGTTCTCCTTGGATAATTAGGATAAATATTTTAAGATTGTTTTTATAGTTTTTTTTTTTAAATCAGACTACTAAGGACAGTAATTTACAGTGTCATTTTGGTGAGTGGAATGTTTAGTAAACATCTTAATATTTGGCTTACAATTTGGTCAAACATATTACAGGTTCTGCCCTAAAAGGCTTTTCTACCTTGCTGAAATAGATTGAATTACATTGTATTATACTCAATGGGAGGACCAGGGTGGTTAGAGAGTAAATTTTATTTTTTCTTGGGTTTTTTTCTTACTTTGAATTATCAAGTCAACGACATTTATTAAGTACTTGCTATGGTACTCTAGGCACTGTGCCTCTAAACACTGAGGACACAAAGAAAAGCAAAAAACAAACTGCTTTCAAGGAAATTGTAGTCTAGTGTAGGGGAGGAAGGGGGAGAGACAGTATACAAACAATTTGTCATTCAATAAGCTGAGGTTTTTGCCAAAGATTTTTATTTTTAATAATTATGTTAACATTCTTTTTTAAACTTGTTTTAATTTTGTATTAAATTTTCAATGATGTAACAAAGTTCGTTTTTGAATATTCAAAGCAGTATGGACATTTATTGGCATAGATTACCAAAAATGATAAATAATTAGCAACACATGTAAACTACATTTTAATTGATAATTTTCCTATTAACATGGCCACAGAACTTGTGTATATTTATACATTTGGAGGGGAGGGGTCTCTACTTTTATTTCAAAAGTATACTGAATTTTGGATGAGGAAAGCCCCACCAATGCAGGTCTGTAACAATTTAGACAATTAGGTGAGGCACTGAAAAATTAAATGACTTGCCTAGGGTAACAGTCATTGTGTCAGAAGGGGAACTTGAACCCAGGTTTTCCCATTTCCATGACAGCCTATATCCATTGTCATGCTTTGTACACGTAGACTGGAAATTAGTATTTTTGTAAATAATTTTAAAACAGGAGGTCTTTACCTGGGATTCATTCATGAACTTTTTTTTTTTTTTTTTTTTTTGATGAGGCAGTCGGGGTTAAGTGACTTGCCCATTCATGAACTTTTTAAAAAAATATTTTGGTGACTGTATTTCAGTATAATTGTTTCTGTTGCAATCCTACATCTTATATGAATTTAAAAATAATATTCTGAAAAGGGGTCCATAGTTTCACCAGACTGCCAAAAGGGATCTGTGACACAAAAAAGACTAAAAATCCCTGTTTGAGAGACTCACTAGAGAGTTACACTATATAGGAAAATTATATGATAGATTAGCAGAATCGTTAGTAGTATTCTTTTTTAAGAATTAATTATGATAAGGATGGGGATGTGTCTATACATGGACTCTGTTATATTCATACAAAACAAAATGTAGGGTCATTTGTAGTTGTGACAATCCGCTTGCAGATTGGCAAAAGAGACCTGTTCAAGTGAAGAGAGAAGATTGATTTGAAACCTAAATAAAAGCAATGAAATTATTTTAAATTTATTTTTAAAATCAGTGAGATTAAAATTTTCAGTTTACGAAATCAAAGTTATATGTGCATATAGGCAGTATTCATCCCCTTGCACTTGTTTCTTTAGTTGGTCCTTGTCAGGTGTGCTGTAGGCCAGTGGTTCTTAAGTCTAAGCACTTTCAAATTAGATTCTTGTTTGTGGTTCTGCTTTGAAAGACAACTATTAATTAGTGTAAGACTTCTCTATTTTTTCCTATCTTTGCTAGAAATCATTCTGTAAAAAGTGAGAGACTGGTCCCTGCTGGGATTTACTTATATAATCACATCTGCCCAAATTCATTATCTCTTACTTTATGTCACTAATGTCAGTAACAGACTAAAGAGACATTAATTGAAACAGATAGGTTTATAATTGACAATAGAAGTACAAGTAAAGATGATATATGTACGCACCCTTCTCTGTAATGTAAGCATGCCAAACTGCAAACATCCCTAAATAGATTATTTTGCTTCCATGTATCTATATACAGACCAATCAGACATGGCAGTTATGGCCCCTATAAATTCCATTAAAATGTTTGTGGAATACTTGTGTTACTGTTATCCCTGTCTTTAAAGAGAACTTTGTAAAACATTGTTGATAAGTATGATCATTTATGTAGAATGAAAGTCTTACCTGCTCTACCCAACTATTTTTCTGCTAGTGAAGTAAAATAAACAGGAGGCTCTTGGCTTAGCTAACCATGCTTTGTTGGGCTCTTTAGCTGGAGACTGCTACAAGAAGCATGGGGCTCATAGCAATGCAGGACTGAAACCCTTCTAAACTGAAGACACTACTTCCTTCTGTTCTCTTTCAGGCCCCCAGGTGTAGCTGTCATCTTGAAATGCCTCAGATCAATGAATAAAATGAAAAGAACATCTATTTTTGTTGTTTGGGTCTTTTTTAAAAGACCATTTAAGCCTAGGCCTGTTAATTGTCATTAAATTATAAGCTTATAAGTGTAAGGATCCTGATTATTTAGTGAATGTGGATTTTAACTAGTAACAACCATTGTTAAAGTAGCCAAATGGATTTGGGGGCTTTAATTTAGCTTATATTTACTCTGTATAGTTTTCCCATTAAGGCAAAAGTAAGCCAGAACTTATTGTGTATGTATCTATCTTTTTTTTTTTTTAAAAGGTACTGCAATAGCCACTTGCAGGTACTTGGCTTTATACCGAAAAAAGAGAGGAAGAAAAAGAATGATCCAATAGAGGAGGTGAAGGCCAGGCACCAAATGGATACCATGGCCTTCAGCCTAACGGTGCCCACACTGGCCTTGAAGATGCCCAATGGACTTGATGGAATGTCCCTGTCACCACCAGGGGCAAGGGTCCCTCTCCACTACCTGGAGACAGAGTTGGAAGATCCATTTGCTTTCAATGAGGAAGATGATGACCTAAAGAAAGGGGCAACTGTGAGGAAGAAGTTGCAGAGTAAGTTGGCCCAGAATCGGCAACGCCAGAGAGAGACAGAGATTTTAAAAGTCCGCCAAGAGCACTTTAGCCCCCCTCCTGCACCTTTGCAGCAGCAGCCTCTGCAGCAGCACTCCCATCTGCCACCTTTATCCACTTCTTTAAAGCCTCCAGGGCTGCCGCAGGGTTTAGTCTGCAAGTCCCCTCCACCTCAGAACACCAGCCTACCAATGCAGGGAGTGGCGCCCACCACACACACTATAGCACAAGCAAGGCAGATGTCCCACAAGAGACCTCTGCCTCTCCTGCCATCCGGTAGGGCTCCTGCTGGGGACCCGCCCAGCACTGACCGGGTCCTCATGAAAGCCACAGCCTTCTCTCCACACTCAGCTTGCATGAGTCGGCTGCAGAGACTGGTGAAACTGTGCACTCGAAGACAGCAGCTGGACACAGATCTGTTTCCCCATTTAGGTAAGCTGACAACACTAGGGATGACAGAAACAAAGCGTGCACTGTTGTGTGAGGCCTTTATTTCTTTTGCCCGCATGTACAGAATGGAGGTAAAATGTCTTGACAGAGTGGTATATCTCACGTCTCCATTTAAAGCCCTTTTGTATTAAGTGTTTGAGTCAGTGATATGGCCTAGTGATCTAGGGACATATCCAAGAATTGGGAACCTATATGTCTCATCATTGCTTTTGAGTTTTGAAGTTGTGTTATCTTTGTGTATACATTTCTTTATAAGGCAAATTATTCGTTAGAATGTTGTGTAAATTGGCTGATTGTAAAGTATTATGTGAGAGCTAAATTTTTAAAAATGTATTTTTACATTCATTTATAATCTCTTCCTCCCATTCCAACCCTTTCCCCATTTGGATAATAACAACAACAAAATGAAAAATCAGTTCAACATTTATTAAGCTCCTATTATGTACTAAGTGTTGGGCTACAAGAAAAGGCCAAAAAATAACAGTATCTAGCATTTATATTTATTATCATCTTCATTTTACAAATGAGGAAACTCAGGAAAATAGAGGTTAAATGATTTGCCCTGGGTCACAGAGCTAGATTTAGTGCTGTATCCACTGTACCACCTAGCTGCCTCATAATAACTAGTACAGGGCTGGGGAAGGCCACAGGTTCCCCACTCCTGAACTAATATTTATGTAGTGCTTTATAGTTTTCAAGCATTTTACAAATATTACCTCATTCTATCCTCACTATTACCCTGGAGGGTGCTATTATTATCCCCATTTTTTTTTTTTTGGCTTTTTGGTGAGACGATCGTGGTTAAGTGACTTGACCAAGGTCACACAGCTAGTAAGTGTTAAGTGTCTAAGGTCCTTCTGACTCCAAGGCCAGAGCTCTATTCACTGTGCCACCTAGCTGCCCATATTATCCCCATTTTACAGATGAAGACACTGACACACTTTAAGTGACTTGTCCAGGGTCACATAGCAAGTAAGTGTCAGAGGCTGGATATGAACTCAGATCTTCCTGACTCCAAAACCAGGGCTCTCAACAAACTCACAATCTAATGGGACAGACAACATACAAAAATAACTGTATGCAAACAAGGCATTGTGTTTTATCATTAGTCTTCTGATTTGTGGTTTATTATTGCATTGACCAGAGTTCTAAAGTCCTTCAAAGTTGTTTTTTTCTTTGTATAAATTGTTTTTTTCTAGTTTTGCTTACTTCCTTCTACATCAGTCTATAGTGGTCTTCTTAATTCTCTTTGAAACTGTCCATTTTATCATTTTTTATGTCACAAGAATTTCCCATTCCATCCATATGTCATAATTTGTTCGTCCATTCCCCAATACATACTCTTTATATTCTCCAAATTTTGGCTAGTATGAAAAGCTGGTATGAGTATTTTTGAATGTGTAGATCCTTTTCCTTTTTCTTTGATCTCTTTGGGATGTAGGATCAGTGATGGTATAGTTGACTCTAAGAGTATTTGCAATTTAGTAATTTTGGAGGCATAGTTCTAAATTGCTTTTCAGAATGGCTAAACCAAATCACATCTCTACCAACAATGTGCTAGTGTATCAAGGCTGTTGTTAAAATGGGAAATGTATTTGTAGTTTCATAAATAGAAATAGAAATTCAGCTAGTGTATATGAACTAAAAATCTAAGGAAAAAGTTATTTAAGTGTCATAGGGCCTTGGAAAATTTAATCTTAAAATTTAAGCCTATTAAAAATAATTTTTGAGAGAACATATGAGAATATGAGAATATAGCACCTCTGAGTTAATCTTTGGTGTTACACACATAAAGGAAACAGGAAAAATTTATTTTGTCTTTTTTAACTGAAATCTATATGTTTGGGGCTCAAATTTTTAAAAGAAAGGTTTATTTTGGGGAAAAGTAGTAGTAATAATCCCATTATCAAATATAATCATCTAAATCATATTTGTTTTGCCAAGAGCAAAAAGAAAAGTTGTAGGAGCTGGAAGACCAAATTAGAGGACTTTGCCCACCCATAATCTGTTACTGGTTAGCTTAGTTGGTTACATTAGAGCCAGTGTAAATGAGGTCAAGGTCAAGAAAATTTTTGATCTTAAGGCTCAGGTAGTTTCATGCTAGGACAGACGTTCCTGCGATCACAGACAGCATTCCTCATCCTAGGCGTTTTATAGGTATGTGGCATTGATTACAGAGTAACCAGGTGAGTGGGTCTGGATGGCTTGGTATAAACCTGTTAAAATTTTGCTGCTGATGGTAGATCTGAGACATCACGTTTGTGTAGGAAGGACAGCATGTTATGCTTAGGCTATGTAGAATGAAATTGCTGCTGTTGTGATCACTTCATTATCAACCCTGCATCTTTTTTGGTAAATTAGAATTTTCTGTTAGGTAGAGGAAAGTAATGTGCCTTTTAAGGTGACCTTACATTTGCCAGTAATTTCAAGTGTAGGTTTAAACATTTCTTTATGTTGGTGGCAAGGTATTATTTAATCTTAAATCTCAATAAATTTTTCAGTTAACTTTTTCTTAATTGCTCTTGGCACGTGTCAACTCAATTAAAATAATCTTTGAGAGAATGACGAACCCAATTTAAGGATAACTTCCCCGTTTTGCCAAGAGCACCGCCATCTTCCAGTTCTGTAGTTTGATACCTCCACAATATTTCTTGTGTCCCTCCACTCCCTTGGTACTTCAGGTCTTCACATCTTGACAAGATTATTGTGGGAGCCTCTGTTTTCTTCCCTTTTTAAAATCCATCCCCCATATGGTTGCCATGTTGACATTCTTAAAATACCGTTCTGTCTGACACTGTCGCAGTGGTTCCTTACCACTTCTAGAATCAAACACAAACTCCTGTTTTGATCCTTCAGATGTGACTGCAGTCTATCTTTCTAAGCCTATTTCTTATTATTCCTGCTCATACACTCTATATTCCAGTCAAACTGGCCTGTTTGCTATGCTGATAGCAAAATATTCTGACACGATATACATAATATTCTGTCTTCTATTTCCTTGCCTTTGAAGGGACTGCCTTCTAGGCCTTGAATGTTCTTCCTCCTAATCTCATTCTTTTGGAATCCCTAACTCTTCAAGATTTAATTTAAGGGCCATCTCTTAAAAGAGGTTTTCCTGTTCTTCTTCCACACCCTGACCTCCCAGTTGTTGTTGGGGGCTGGTTTTGTCCTTGTATGCCTAGTGCCAACGCAATCCCTGACACATAGTACATGCTTAATAAATACTTGTTTAATTAAATTGGATGATAGTCCTTTGGCTAAAGTAAACACCTTCAAAAATAAGCATACAAATGTAATACTAATTGCCAAGGTCAAAAAGTTTCATATCTACGTGAAAGATTGAATAATATTATTTCCATGTTGTTAAGATTGTGACTGACTTGGTGTCACTGGCTAGCTGATTCAGTGGATAGAGTGCTAGGCCTAGACTCAGGAAGCCTTGAGTTTAAATTCAGCCTCAGATACTTAATAGCTATGTGACCGTGGACAAAGTTACTTAATCTCTGTTTGCCTCAGTTTCCTCAACTATAACATGGGAATAATAACAGCACCTACCTCTGAGGGTTGTTGTGAGATATTTACAATGAAATAATTGTAAAGTGCTTAGCACATAGTGCCTGTCACTTAGCTATTTAAATGCTTATTCCCTTCTCTCAAAAAATAAAAATGATTTTAGAAATTAAGATGTTTTTTAAAAGAGAAAAAGTGGCTATGCAAAACCCAGTTTTTAAAATATAAAAAAATTTATTTGGACTGAAATAATATAAGTTTATGGTGTTCATAATGAAATTAGTGTGTAGCAAATTTAGTAATTATATTAAGTCAGAATAATTAAGATTTCCTTAAAGTAACATTAGATGTCATGTATTTTTCTCCACTATTCCTCCTCTCTAAATTTGGATCCTAGAAAATTGAGGGGTGAAAATTTGCAATTCTTAACTAAAGGAATTGAATAAAGTCCAAAAACCAAATCTGTATCCATCATCTTCAGTAAAATCTTTTGAAATCTTTTTGTTTGTGTTTGTTTTCGTTTTTAATTTTTTGGAACTCTTTTTGAAACCATTTAAAAATAGGTATGTTATTATGAGTTAGGTGAACAGATGGCCAAATTTTTAACCATTGCTGGTTTTTACCTTGTTTCCTTTACCCTTCTTAAACTAGTTGTATTCAAATTTATAATTTAGTCTTATTGTGTGGAGGTTGGAGGTGTGCTATATTTTCAGTTTTTAAAAAGATAATTTAACTTTCATTGATAGGGTAGTTCTTTTTATCTTGGAGCATAAGTAAAGGCTCATTAAACTTAAAAGACTCAGAATTTAAGAAAGACTTAGCTTGATTAGTAAGTGCTCTTGGATTGAAGCTCCTTTATAACAAAGTAGGCCATGTAAAAATAATTAATATAATTTTCATAAATCAGTTGAAGCAGGATTATTCTTAAATAGTTGTGCATTACAAAAATAACTCCATGAGTAGCTTTTGTCTGTATTCCAACAGTTGGAGATAAACTGGCTTGATTCTAAACAAATCAAGAAATTGGCAAAATTTGTTTTTGACCTTTGCATCCCTATCAGTGGTAACTGTCCTTCACTTCAAGCATTCAGGGTACTCCAGTCCTCTCGCCCATTTTTCTGAGTGCTGAGAAAAGAGAAGTGTGTATTTATTATAAGCTTCATGAGCACTTGGAGCCTAGCAGACCTCTCTCTTCTTTGCTTTTTCTAAGCACAGGTTATACCTGTCTATCTTTTCTCTCAACCCTTGGGTCTTCTCCCTGAGACCCCGATTTGTGTTTCTGTTTTGTGGCACATTTCATATTAGTTAGCATTTAATTATATTTTCGTACTACATGTTGATGTGTTATGTATTTTGTTCTCCAAAGACTAGCCTAGCCTAGCTAAGTTCTGACAGGCTCTTTACCAGCTTGGCCAAACAGTGGTGGCTGTTTCAACTACAGCAACTCTTTCAGACTGTCTGCCAAGTCATAGAGGGGTTGTGATCTGCATTGGTAGAGGAAGTATCCACACCAGTGAACTACAAATGCTTAGAAGTATATTCTTACTGTAAATCTCCTTAAATCTTAGAATACATCCTGTGACTCCTTGTTTTAATCCCTGCTAATGATATACATCTCCAACAAAGGGTAGAAAACATTTTTTTTTGTTGGAAGAGATATTACTGTATTTAATGATCAATTTTCTTAAATACTGAATGAATATTAATCAGTTATTTTAGTAATGTCTTAGAACTGAATCCAGTCTTATTAGGTGGAATTTATTTACATTATAGTAGTACTTGCTATTATTGGCTTAGACATTTTGGATAATTTTCATTTCCTAAATTCAAAAATAAATTATTTCTTTGAATTTTTATTTTTCTGTCTGCATGTTATCTGCTCATCTGCCCCAGGACTGGACTGGTCTGAAGATAGTGGAGAAGAATTGGAAGAATCAGAGCAAGCCTCACCATACCAGGTTGCATGGTCCATCCGAGAAACCCTCAGATATGAGAGACAAGAGTAAGTCTTTTTCTTTTTAAAAATAAATTAATGATGTAACACACCAATCTTATATATTGACGTTCAACCTATTGGGTCATCACATTGGGTTTGATCTTATGATAGAAGAAGCTATTGTAAAATATGTTTCTTCTAAAAAATTAGCTTCATCTGGTAGAACCCATTTTTTTTATCTCTCCCCTACAACCCAGTTGGAGCAGACATTGACTTTACAAAATGCTGGTGCTGAAAGAGACTTTAAAGATGATCAAGCCCAACCCCTTCTTTTAGGGATGAGAAAATTGAAATCCAGAGGGGCTACACATGCAAAGTAATTCAGCTGTTTAGTGAAAGAGCAGGAACTTGAGCCTTGGTTTCCACACTCTCAGTTCAGTGTTATTTCCACTGTACCATGAAGAGTCTCCATGACATCCTTTTTTCTGTCCCCAGGAAACAGCAATATATTTGAATTTTCCTTATCTTTGGCAAGTTTAGACCCATCATTGTTTAATTAACATTTGTTGAGTTATTGTGTTTAGTATTATACAAGACAGTTTCAGTAGTGTTATTTTTTTTCAGCCTTACCAAAAAAACATTGAGATGTACTTTGATCTTTCTTTTCTAATTCTGTCTTCCATACAGGAACTTGGAAAGGCAGTGTCCTTTCATTTATGTAGGATTACTTCTTTTCTTACCCCATGTAATTTTTTTTTTCTTAATTAATTTATTTTTAGTTTTCAACAATCACTTCCATAGGCTTTTGAGTTTTAAATTTTCTCCTCTTCCCTTCCCACCTCTCTCCCCAAGATGGTGTGAAATCTGATATAGGCTCTACATATACATTCCTGCTAAACATATTTTCACATTAGTCATGTTGTAAAGAAGAATTCAGAACCAATAGGAGGAACCAGAAGAAAGAAGAAACAAAACAGAAGAAAAAAAAAGAGCAAATAGTATGCTCTGATCTGCATTCAGACTCCATAGTTCTTTCTCTTGATGTGGCTAGCATTTTCCATGATGAGACATTTGGAGATGTCTTAGATCCTTGCTTTGCTGAGAAGAGCTAAGTCTATCAAAGTTGGTCATTGTACAACGTGGCTATTACTGTGTATAATGTTATCCTGTTCTGCTCACTTCACTCAGCATCAGTCCATACAAGTTTTTTCCAGGTTTTTCTGAAGTCTGCTTGCTCATCATTCCTTATAGCACAATAGTATTCCATTACATTCATATACCACAACTTGTTCATCCATTCCCCAATGGATGGACATCCCCTCAATTTTCAATTCTTTGCCACCACAGAAAGAGCTGCTATAAATATTTTTGTACATGTGAGTCCTTTTCCTGTTTTTATGATCTCTTTGGGATACAGACCTAGAAGTAATCAAAGGGTGTGTACATTTTTATAGACTTTTGGGCATAGTTCCAAATTGCTCTTCAAAATGTTTGGATCAGTTTACAACTCCACCAACAAGGCACTGGTGTTCCAGTTTTCCCACTTCTCCAACATTTATCATTTTCCTGTTTTGTCATGTTATCCAATTTAATAAGTGTGATGTGGTACCTCGGAGTCATTTTGATTTGCATTTCTCTAATCAATAGTGATTTAGAGCATTTTTTCATATGACTATAGATAGCTTTAATTTCTTCATCTGAAAACTGCCTGTTCATATCCTTTGACCATTTATCCATTGGTGAATGACTTGTGTTCTTATAAATTTGACTCAGTTCTCTATATATTTTAGAAATGAAGCCCTTATCAGAGACACTGGTTGTAAAAATCTTTTCCCAGTTACCCCATATAATTTTGAGAGACAGTCTTGCTTTTTCTTTAATATTGGAGAGATGTTTTAGTGGCATAGTAGTTCTCTTGCGTGTATTCCCTGGAAATATTGGGTTCATTTGACTATTGAGCTCTATTAGGACAGGCACGATGATGACTAGAAAAACCCAGTTCCATTTCTCTGCTTTTTTGGGAAGATGGTGAACATTGCATGTTCTTGTTTGTTGCATTCTGCCTCTCCAGAATGTAAATTCCTTGAGGGCAGGAACTGTTGCCTTTTTATTATTTTATTGTGAGCACCAAGTATACTGCTTGGCACAGAAAATATTTGATAAATGCTTGTTGGCTAATTGAGTCCCACATATTTATTCATCCAACAATTATTTAATAAGTACATAAAACACCATTTTCATCTTATCATTCTATTTCTTTAAAAAAATTTCAAGGATTCTCCACTGCATATAGAACAAATTAAAAAACTATTGAATTGCTTAAAAAAAAGCAAAAGCCCTTTCTTCCCTTGTTTACCTTTAAAAAAGTATTGATTTAATTTGTTTTGACATAGCAGTCATTTCCCAACAAAAACCTAAACAAATCTGCCTTCAAAATATGTTCCCTAAAAATAATTTCTCAGTTCTTAGGATATTTCCTCAACTTTGACCATTATATTTGGTGAGAGTTTTGTGGCTTTTTTTAATATTGTAGTCATTATATGTATTATTATTTGTCCACTTTGCTTTTTCCACTTTATCATTTCATACATGTCTGCCCGAGTATCTCTGAATCCTTCATATTTCTCTTTGAAAATATCTCTTGAATCTCTGTCTTTTTATTTTATCCTCTGAATCTCTGTGATTCAATGTCAAAAGCTAAATGAAAACTCCCTTCCTTTGCTATCATCTCGCTATCCTATTTTGCTTTCCCTTTTTATTGTTCCCTATCCCATTCTATTGTTAACAAGCTTCCCTTAATATTAGTCTTCTTTTCTAACATAATCCTTCTTGCACAAATGGAAATCTGAACCTTTTCAAGAAGAGAGTGCCTCCCTGGCCTCTCTTTCCAGTACTGGATATACCTTCTGTCATCTTACCCCACTCATTGAACCGGAATGAGAAGTAGGTATGCTCCTTGTTCCTCACAGACACTTCTAGATCAATCTCTTCTATCCCTCCCAACCATTTTTTAACAACTTCTCCTCCTTTTAGGTTTATGTTATTCAGATAAATCAGTTTGTGCAGATACTGGTTGTTATCTATCTGCCCTTATGTCATTCTCCCTCCTTTCTAGTAGAGTTCTGTAACTGGCTCCTGGTCTCCCTCTCTACCTCAACTCCTTTTATCATATTTGGGGACTTTGGTTTCCTCTAACACACCTTGGCCTCCCAGTTCATCAGCCTCCTTAGCTTCAATGATTTGCATTTTTCTATCCTACCTTGCCCAGTCAACCACTAAGCATTTATTAAGCACCTACCATGTGCCAGGCACCTACTGTGCCAGGTGCTGGAGATAAAAAGCCTAAAATGAAACAGTTCCTATAGTTGAGGAGCTTACATACTATTGAGGAAGATGATATTTACATAAATTATATAGCACTATCCTAAGTGCTTTGCTACATACAAAAATTACAATGTAATTCTTGCCCTGATGGAGCTTATAAATCTAGTTTGGGAACTAGACAATTAAATGAACATAAAAATATGTACCACTTTAAAGTAGGTTATTAAAAATAAAACAGTGAGTGTGAATTAAAATGGCTAGAGTCAGTATGGTATTCCATATGATATTGTGTCAATGTCAGCATGCCACCAATCCACATAACTAGCTAACATTCCAACCCATGAAATAGACCTTACTTTTTCAAAAAATAACAGTTGCCTACATTGTAGCCACTGTTCTGGTTAGAAACCATTTAAAAGAGATCACATACGCATCTCAATTTTTTTAGTAGAAGAAAATATAGAGTTCAATAAGTACAAAATGAATACTTTAGCTTTGTAGATGAATGCTGTCAGTTTTTTTAAAAGAATTCATTGAAAGAGGCTTACTCATCAATCATTTCCCAAATATGTTGAAACTAGCTTAAAACTTAGTCACACATTTGAACTTACCATCACCCATAACTATTAGACCTCCATGATCTAAAAAGCTGAAATTCCTTTATCTCTTAATACTTTTCATCTCTCCCTCTGCCTCGCTTCTTCTCAATCTGTTCTCTGTCCTCATTATTGCCTTTAATCACTTTATCTCTTCCTGCTTTTCTTGTCTATCACCGCACTCTGCCCTTACTTTATTCTCTGAAGTCTTGTTCCTTAGTTAACAGTGAATCAGCAAGGATTTATTAATCATTTAATATTGCCAAGCACTGTGCTAAGTGCTGGGGATACAAAGAGCCCCTGCCTTCAAGGAGTTTTCATTCTAATGGTGGAGATAGCATCTAAATAAGTAGGTACGTAAAAGAGATATACAGAACGGATGGAAAAGCACTGGGGTGGGAGAGGGGAGGAGAAAGCCTCCTGCACAAGGTGGGACTTGAGCCAAGTTTTGAAGGAAGCCAAGGAAGCTGAGAGTTAGAGGTGAGGAAGCAGATCATTCCAGGCATGGGGTTAGCTGGATGTCTTCTTTGAGAAATAGTAGGTAGGCCAGCATAACTGGATCATAGAATATGTGGAGGAGAGTAGAATATAAGAAAACTGGACAGGTTGGAAGGGACCAGGTTATGAAGAGGTTTAAATGCCAAATAGAGTCTCTATACTTGATCAAAGTCCTCAGCAAGAGGGGAGGGTTAGAGAATGCCTTGAGGAGAGATAGGAATGTTTGGAACAGGGTAACCTTGGAGAGTGGGACAGCCAGATTAGTTAGAGGAGCAGAATGATTGCCTTGATGCAATAAGGACCCAGTTGAGATTAGGTAACAAATTTCTAGTGGACCCAGTTCAACTTAATGATATCTTAAATTCTCAAGTCCCTTGCACTCTCATCCTATGACTGTTCATCCCATTCCAGACCCCAACCCTGGGTTATTCACATCATTTGCCTCCTCACTCTTACATTAGTGCTCCTTCACACAACACTGATATGTTCTCTAATGTCACATGGGCAGTCACTACTGCATAGCAGTCCTTTTACTCTTCCCTCTTTGACTGACTATTGTATTCTCCCCCAGCGTCTATTGTAAACCTACTCTTTTCAGGTCACTTCTATCTGCTTTTCCCACCCCGCCCCCCAGCAGTGTACCTTACT